TCGGACTGTTGATGGTGCAACCCTTCAAGGGGTGGCGTTGCCTGTGTCAGATGGCCCTGTCCTGTTTGATGCACGCAGGCAAGTGCACCTCACTGATTCGTGGCAGGGCAGGAGGGTCATTTTGGTTGCATTCTCTATTTCGGCCTTTGATAAGTTGTCTCTCGAGGCTTCCTAACGCTTGATTTCACTTGATTTTGCCTTGCCAACTGAGCCAGAGGTCGAGCACTTCCGTGAGAACCCACAGCTGCCTGCTCGCCTGCCGTGGCCGCCACGTTTCCCTCTGCTGTCGAGTGCTTCAGCTAACCAGGCTGTTAGTGCGGCATTAGTTCCCAAAGAACCACTTTTTCTTGAACTATGTGCCGGCAGCGCCATGCTTTCTCGCTGCTTTCGTGAAGCGGGTGTGCCTGTCATGCCCATTGATCACCAGCACAACCGCCATCATCCGTTGGCGCAGGTCTGCAATCTCAGCTTGACCGAGGAGTCCACTTGGGTCTTCTTGCGCAATTTGGTGCGTGATCATCCAATACTCTTCGTGCACGCTGCCCCGCCTTGTGGCACGTGCTCCGCAGCGCGCAACATAAAACGAAAAGGGGTGTCCGTGGCCCCGCTTCGCTCTCCTGAGCATCCCATGGGTTTGCCTTCGCTGACTGGTGTCAACCTTGACAAGGTCAAGGCTGCAAACAAAATTTACATCGGCCTTGCCCAGTTTCTTGATTTGCTTTGCAGGTCCAACATCCCATGGACAGTCGAGAATCCTGAGTCAAGCATGCTTTGGCAGCTGCCCTGTTTTGCTCATTTGGTAAAGAATTTTCCGAGGGTTAATTTCGACATGTGTTGCTATGGTGGTGCGCGATTGACACACCGTACGCTGCTTACTTCTTGTGATGCCATCGAGCATTTTCGCCAGCGCTGTCCGGGTGGGCACGAGCACCTTCCGTGGAAGCCACAGCGCCGCGCTGACGGCACGATGTCTTTTCCTACTGCGCAAGAGGCAGCTTACCCCAGGCCCTTTTGCCAACAGTTCGTGGCGCTGGTCTTTAGGCACTTGGGTCGGGACTTGCCTGTGCACCCTACTGCGGCCACGCCTGCCGCTGCTGCCACTTCCTCTGCTCGGCAACCTCGCGGCCGTAAACTGCCTCCTGTTATGCCTGAGTTCAAGCGTGTGCTTGTCTACCAAGTTCATGCTCTGCCGCCTGTTGATTCCAAGCGGTGCATTTTGCAACCCCTCCGCGATGCTCCTTCTGGGTCCAAACTTCTCTCTTCGACCTCTTTACTGCTAAGCGGGGGTGGTTCTGGGTCTTCGTTGAAGTTTGCCCGGGATGAGGTTGTGCACTCGGATAGTTCTAGCAGTGATGCCAGCAGTTGCGAATCCGTGCACGGTTCTGACAGTGATGCCTCATTGGAGCCTACTTGTGATGCGAGAGCTTTTGAGGTTCGCCTTGGTGTGTACGCCTCTCCCGAGGAATTTCTTGATGGGTGCAGAAGGGTTACTCATCCTTTCGATCACCTGCATGCCGCTCCTGATCGTCTCAAACAATGCATCTTTGATATGTTGGTCAATGGCCCGGCCTGGGTTGTGCAACGGAGGGCGGCCCTACTCAGGAAGTGGACGTCCTGGGCCTCCGACCTCGAAGGAGAGGAACGTGCTTTGAAGGAGGCGCTTGATCCTCAGGTCGCCAAGGTTTTGCAAGGAAAAAGGCTAAAGCTTCTGGAGCGTATTGCCGGCTCCCTTGGTTGGGTTGACATGAAGGTTTTCGATGAACTGCGCAAGGGTTTTGACTTGGTGGGCCATCATGAACACACTGGAGTTTTCGCTCACGAGCCCAGGCCACCCAAGTTGGCTGAAAGTGATTTCACTAGTGCCGCACAGTTTCTGCAGCCCGCTTTACTTGGAAAGATTCGTGCTTCTGCATCCGATGCGAATGCTCGCGAGCTGTGGGACAAGACTCTTGATGAGGTGGCTGATGGCATTCTTGAGGGCCCGCTTTCTGTTGAGGAGTTGTTGTCTCGACACGGGCCGTGCTGGCTCCCTACTCGCCGGTTCGGTGTTGAACAGACTTCCTCCGCCGGCCGTAAACTTAGACCTGTTGATGATTTCACTGAGAACAAGGTCAATTTGGCTTTCGGCTCGATGGATAAGCTTGATCTTAACGCACTTGACGAGTTGATTGGGATCAGCAGGTTGTGGATTCGGGTTCTGAACGGGCCGCCCGATTTCACAATCCCTCTCTCAACTGGTGAATCCTTGAGTGGTCGTCGGCATGACGGCTGGAAGAAGGCGGGGTGCGAGCCTCTCCTCACTACCTTGGACCTCCGAGCGGCTTACAAGCAATTTGCGGTTTCTGCGAAGTCGCGGGCCCTGGCAATAATTGCATTGCTTGACCCTTCGACTGCTGAGCCTGGACTCTTTGAGTCGAAGGCCCTGCCTTTCGGGAGTTCCGCTTCGGTGCTTCACTTCAATCGCCTTGCGCGCCTATTTTGGCGCATCGGCGTGGAGCTGTGTGTGCCTTGGTGCAACTTTTACGATGACTTCCCTGTCATGTCTCCGTCTGGCATTGCTGACAACACAATGGAGACCATGATTTCCCTGTGTAACCTGTTGGGGTTTAGGTTCGCCTCTGATAAGCTTTCCCCCTTTAAGGCCCAAGCCACGATGCTTGGAGTGGAGGTTGATTGCTCTCGCTTTTCCGAAGGCCTGGTCCTAGTCCGGAACAAGCCTGGCCGGGCCGAAGAGCTCGTTGCCTCTCTTGATGAAGTCCTTGAGGAGGGTTTGATTTCTCGGAAGCGGTATCTAAGCTTGATGGGTCGCTTGCATTACACCGACTCGTACATCCTTGGCAAGGCTGGACGGCTTTTCATGGCCGAGGTCAGGTCGTGGGCAAAGTCGCATTCGGGACCTGAGTTGAAGCTTGATGAGTTTGTTCGGATCTCTCTTGAGCGGTTGCTGAAACGACTTCGTTGTGGCACGCCTCGCCACGTCCCTTGCTCTGTCGCCGATCATGTTGTGCACATTTACACTGATGGAGCGAGCGAAGGTAGCTCTCACACCGTTGGTGGGGTGTTGATGATTCAGAATCGGGTTCACGCTTACTTTGGTTGCTCTGTCCCTGATGTCCTAGTCTCGCGTTGGGCTGAATCCATGTGTCACTTCATCGGGCCCATTGAGGCCTATGCTGTTGCCGTCGCGAGGAAGGCTTGGCACCAATTCATCGCGGGACACAGATGTATCTTCTACATAGACAATGTGCCAGCGCAAGATGCCTTTATCAAAGGCACCTCTGTAAATCATCATGTCAGGGACATCTTGTTGTCTTTCGAGGCGGCCGAAGAGCTCAGTGCTTCTTGGTCTTGGTTCGCCCGTGTAGCCAGCCAGAGCAATGTGGCGGATGCTCCGTCGCGTGGCGACTTCGCTGATCTGCTTAATTCTGGGTGTCTTAGGGTTAGTCCCTCGTGCCCCTTGTCGGGTTGTGACCTTAAGGCCCTCCTGTCTCCCGCAGGGATTACTAAGAAGGGGTGAAGGGGGCGGTCGCCAGACCGTGTTTCGCCCCGTGCAAAATGAAGGACAGTGCGATGCATCTTATGCCGGATTACTTGGAATCTTATATTGCTTGTGATTGGATTCATTTGCAAATAGACTTTGAGTCCTTTTTCCCTTTGCTTATGTTTGAAAATCCGATTATGAAAAGGATCTCAGCAGACAAGCCTGCGCCATCTGCGATCCCTTTTTCATAAAAGGACCGCGAGCTTGAAGCGAGCATTTTCAAACTTGGTTTCAAAAACTTGGCATGGCTTGTTTTTGCACGTGACAATTTTTGCATTGCCTTCTGCGCATCGCCTCTTTTGGTCTTGATGACACAACCCTTGACATGCGGCAGCTCAGTGCTCGAGCTGAGTTGTGAAAGAATTTTCTGCCCGCCCTCCACTCCCTATGTGCTGCTCTGGCTCTCCGTGCCATTGAGCTTGCAAATTCTCATGTTGCCTCCTTGAAGCGTTGAGCTCTCCTCTGAGCTCCGCTTCCATTGCATTGCACTGACAAACTTGTGTTCCGTCGCACTCGCTTTGCGTGCTGCCGGTGTTGAGCTCTCCTGTGAGTTCCACCTGTGCCTGCCGTAGGTGTAGCTGCGTAGTTGTAGCCGTAGGCTGTGCCAAGTACGCTGTGCTCAGCTGCTTGCGCTTCGATGCGATCTGCATCTGTCTACTCTTACAGTCCGTTTCACTTGTGGTAGTCCGTAGCTGGCGTACGTGCTACTGCACTGGTCCCACCCTCCTCACCCACGCCCCCGAAGGGGGCGGTCGCCAGACCGTGTTTCGCCCCGTGCAAAATGCAGGACAGTGCGATGCATCTTATGCCGGATTACTTGGAATCTTATATTGCTTGTGATTGGATTCATTTGCAAATAGACTTTGAGTCCTTTTTCCCTTTGCTTATGTTTGAAAATCCGATTATGAAAAAACTCATAAAGTAATCAGCCTGAAAGCTTGTGCGCATGAACATACCCATCGCCCGAGCAGCCAGCAGCATTTCTGTCAAGACCTCATCGTTGGATACTGTCGCCGGATAATCTTCGAGCAGAGAAATTAAAAATCTCATCAACACAGCAGTGTCTTGGTTTTTTTTTTTTTTTCCCTCCTGATACTCTTTCGTGCTGCTGTATCCCAGTGTCTCTTTAGATATGGACCTGCAGTGTAAATAAATCTTCGTTCTACGCAGAAAAGCCCTTAAGCTCTCCTGGAGACCTTGGATGTCTTTGTCCACACTGCCACGGTTGATCAAGATCCGCATCGCGTAGATAAAACTACTGCCGAGAAAGTCTTTGCCGACTCCGGAATGATAGACGTGGAATAGATCTGGTCTAAACATGGTTTCGGGAGCCTCCTCCTCCAGTATCATGTACTGCAGGATCGGCCCACCCGGTGGTGTCCATGGCAATTTATTCGCCAGGCCCTGAGTGCGAATCCAAGCAGGTTCCCATAACCCCAAGTGTTCGAATGGGACGTGCTCATCGGCGGTTTGAAAGCCAGCTCGACAAAGCCAGCAGCATCATGCAGCATCCAGGTTGATTTCGTTTTGACGAAGCGGCCTTCCGCACATTATGAAATGAGCGTGTCATGTGCGCAATCTTCTTCACGAAGGGGCTGTCGCCAGTGAAGCCAACGATAGCAATCCTCCATGTGTTGCCATGAGCCCAAAACCCTTCCAGAAAAAGCGATTGCAATCGTTTGCCCCATAGTTCAGCAATACCGTCAAAGGCATCTGGATGGTTTTTGGCTACCAAACTTCCCAGAACAGTGAAAAGAAACCGAGTTGTAGCAGTGATGCCCCGCAAGTTGATGCCGAGCGTGCAGTCTTCGTTTGTCTCGTCATAAGATCTCTTGGCCTTGGAACCGGCCAAGTGGACTGGCCGTTTCCGTGAGCCTGATCCCAAACATGGTATCATACTGAAAATATCCACAGCCTCCTTCTTGAATCCCCGTCCACCATCACCGTGAAAGTAGTACGGTATGACATGTTGCATGTCCATGTATTGGTCGAATATGGGATGCCGGGGATGAAGCAATCGAAAAGTATCCCAGAACTTGATAAGCGATTTCTCGGCAACCTCCACTCGTAGGCCTAGAACCCTGTGGAAGAACCCCTTGTCGGCGATCTGTTCCACCAGATCCCGTGGGTCAATGTAAGGAAACCTTTCAATCGAACCCACCTTCGCGTAGGAAAAGTTGATCCCCATGGTCATGCCATTGTCCCGAAATATCTGGTATACTGGTGCATCAGCAGAGCTCTCCTTACACTTGGCCAACCGCCCCAGCACCTCGCAAGGATCGCGACGGGAGGCAGCTTTTGCGTCGACGACCAAGTCTTTTGCCGGAACCTGGGGATTCTCTAGTTTATATAACCGTAGGATATACAGTCTAGCTATACATAGAATATGGGACCAACATTAGTCAAATATTGAGTTTATGCTACGTACGAGCGAATCATGCTTAAGGGAATCGGGCTTCTATGGATAAATTAGGGGTTGTTATAAACATCACTGTACGTGTGGATTAGTTTTTTTCAGGACGTACATGTTTATTTGATCGAAGGATTGTATTTGTATAAGGTTCACTCTGAAGGATGCAGGCTTGTATAGGGTGTTTTCATTGGTCGATAAACTCGGATTTCCAAGACCATATCCGGGAATCAGCCTTCATTGTGTACATATATGGCTTGCAATCTGGGCTTCGCAGGGTTATGCTATGATCTCGAGTGAACCCGGCCATACCTGAGAATGGGTGTATAGACGGCGGCGAGGGTACTAGTGGAATATGATGTTTTGCCAATTTAACAAATGTCGATAGGGTTCGAAAGTTCATGAATGTTCATACCGGCTAGGTCCCAAGCTCCTTTGGCATATTTCCGGGCCAGCAGGTAAGCCATCTCGCTGATCCCGGTTGGGATTTCATCGCCTGCGGGGGGAGGGGCCGGGGATTGGAGGGACGACTAGAAATTGAAGTTCAGGTAGGATTGCGCAGACTCCCTAATCAAGGCCATACTTAAGCAATTAATTTACCCTGCAGGTTGTTGCACAGGATTGCAAGGAGGGATTGCAGGTGTGGGTGGATCTAGATTGTCAGATTGATATAGGGCCTTATATAAGTATGCGCAACATTAAGGATCGCAACAGATGCGCTAATTAGTTTTCCTGTGCGTCGTCATCATGAGAAGTGCGCCCCAATCGCAACTCTGAATTTGCACTGCACAACGTTGCAGCGCTGATATTCAAGCGCTACAAACTCTAGCTACCGGAATCTGACGACAGGCCTCCAAATCGGGTTTGCATGTGTGCACTACGATCGATATCTTACGCGATATAGCACTGCAAGTTCGAAGCCAGAGCCGGTACAATATTGAATCACCACCGATCGAGATCTCAGGCCTCGAACGTGTTGGCACCACAAGTCCCGGAAGCCTTATAAACACCAAACATAAGAGATCACTCCAATATGGATCGCCGAAAACACGCATCAACCTAATTAAGTACCGTAGTATATAGCCCATGCACGACTGTACCCGTGCGGCTACCGAGATTGCAGAGAGCAGCGGATTGGAGCAGCTCATGCCGCCGCTTTCTTAGCATCCTTGCGGAGCTTGGACAGTGTCTGCCTGGGATCGATTGGGGAGCAGATTTGACGAAACCCTCGAGTTGATGTTAGCTTTTCTTCGGAAATTAGGGAGATGACTTGTTGGCAGCCTCCAAGGTGGCGGCCTTTGACATCCTCGGCTAGACAACCACGCACAAACTCGTGCGTGTGCCCGGGGCTCAATAATGCATGCGACCATCCTGCCCAGCGACAGTTTCTGAGCCTTCTTGAAACACATCTCGCAATCGTTCGTGAGCCTGGGATGCAGAGGGAAACGGTTGGCTGATATTATTGTATGGCACAAGCAAGCTAGTTAGCAGCTAGCATGAGCTGATCTCATAAGTCTGGGAGCTTCTCGGTGAAACCACCAGTTCGGCCTTCTGCTTTTGCGTCGGCGAGTTCGTCGTAGGTGTTGTCCAGCTCTCTGTACACAGTCTCGAGTTTGCGAATGCTCCTGAGGTTTGAACCATCTACACCTAATGACCTGGCGATGCAAGTGGCTGCCTCAACGGATCAACTGTATCTGCTGTCTGAGGGTCTCTTGGTGGGCACCGTCCGAGCCAGCAGCTGTCCTCAGCCTATCAAGGAAGTTTTGGAGGGAGTTCTTGGCCCGGAGGGTTTCCCGCAAATACTCGTTGACCTGGGTGGCTACCTCAGTTGGCGCAAAGACCCGATTTTGTAACAATCATGCAAAATTACACTGAACGTCATTGCATGTAGCAAAGTACCGGCTTGCGAGTATCACCTTCCATTTGCTGGGACATCCCGAGCATAGGGTCGGCCGGATCAAGGTTAAAGCCGTCCGTATGCACCAATGGTTTCATCTCGAGATCTGTACCACCAGACCCCTCGTACTCCTTCTGGCGTGAGATTTCCTCGAGGTCTTCCTTCGTCAGGGTTCCCTCGGTCCTGGTATTCACCCAGTATTCGGTCACGTCGCTGTCGTATTCACAGGGCCTCGAGTGTCAGACCCCGATGATTTGTGTAGTATAGCTGCGAAGCCCGAGTTCCGAAACCTTACTACATATGGGCATATTAGTACGACCGGCACGACACGGGAGGCTTTCCCTAGCTTACATGCGCGTGATATGAACATGCAGAGTGCAATAGCGCATGCATAATGTACCTTACACCATGTATATAACCCTATATAAACCCATACCATAAACCCTAAACCCTATATAAACCCTATAACCCGTCACATGTGCACATGACACACGCAAACACACCCACCTAGGCTAAAGATCTGTGTACGGCATACTCAGAGACAGCGGATGAATTGCCAGGGCACCGAGTGAGTCCTTTCGACTCGGCCCATTTCACGATTTTCTCAATCCGTTGCCTGGGCCACGCAGAGCTCATTTATTCGAGGTAAGTTAAGCCAACTTTGATCGATAGTATATGTATATACATATCTGTGGATAGGTAAAATTATACAACTATGCGGTATAGTAGTCTGATAGTTTGGAACCAAGTAGCGCATTGTAGCCGAGCTCCGATTTCATATCATCTCTCGAGTAGAAGCCTCCCTTTACCACCAGCTTTTGGGACCGGGTCTTCTTGCTCATGATAGTAACCCTCTCGATCAAGACCGCCTCACATCAACCCATGCATGCAGCTCAACACGATCGAGGAGTTGACACCACAGGACACAGTTGCCCATGCATACACTATCTAGCTAGAGTCTTATGCACGAACTGTGTGATATTATTTAAACAGACCAAACACCTCCCCACCTTGACCCCACCAGACTTGGCCCACATGGAGAAAAGAGCATCTCGCTGGGTTCCGGCTGCTTCCCACATATCCATCACGTTGGTGGGAACTTCCAGATGCCCGCTACTTTCTTTGGGCATGCAAACCCGTCTGCATTTCTGCTTCTCAGCACGTGAAAGATTTTTACCGTCCAAGACCCTGGGGAACTCATCTTCTGAGTCTTTTCCGCTCTCAGACGGCGCGGGTGTAGGCGCTGGGGATCGATCTCTCTTTACTCCTTTAGGGGCTGGGGTCACTGGAGGAGCCGGGGCCCGTGATCTCACCGAGGCTGCTGGCGAGGAAGATTCTGGTGGCTCCACCACGGGCTTCTTGGTGTCCTGATTGCAAACGGGCTGTATGGGAATTATATGCGGGCTTGAGGACTTCTCCATGAACCTTCGTATATGTGGTTTCATGCCATGGAACTATACAGTTGCAGGTTGCACGATCGATCGGGCTTGCATGTGGGATTATGCATAGTATCGAGGATCCGTGTTGAAGTACGATACCGGTCCGCAGGCTCATTGCGGGCAACGCTATTAGAGACATCGACGCTAACACACCCCAAACCCTGAATTGAATCCTCCCGGGGAACCTCTAAAATTACTCGATGACTGCAGCGAGTTGATTTATATTGCCGAGTAGCCGGGGTTGACGGCAGGGGTTCTTCAGGGGCCCGGGGCCTGGCTTGACGAAGCATGTCGATGACATCTTGCTGCTGCGTGAGCAGGGCTTTCATGTCCCTGAGCTGGGCCTGCAAGTCCTGCAAGAGCGGAGGGAACTACATAGTGCATTTATTGTACATGCTGCACGGAAACTGGTCCATCATGCGTGCACAGCAGGGCATCCTCTGTGCGAGGGGAAGACGGGGCAGGGCTAGGCAGCGGTCGGCTTGGAGCAATTTTAGGCGACGGGGCCACACCACGCTCCAGCTTGACCTGCAGTGCACAGGTACATGCTATATACCAGAGGGACCCCCAAAACCGCGCAATCAACATTAGCCGACCAGGCACCTTCTTAAGCGGCCCGGCAGATGGAAGCTCGCTGTCTGACCCAGGCTCGGTCTTCGTATCACATGTGCACAGGGCCATCTGCAACTCCGGCAGGGATCCGGGGTTTGGCTGATTTGGTTCCGAGCCATGCACGGATTGCTGTTGGATAGCTCCTGCTGCAGCTGTTCCAATCCTTCCCGTGAGTTCTGGTGCTGCAGCATGAAAGATAGACCGCTTAGCAGGGTGTCAGCGGAGTGCATGTTTCTGCGCAGAGCCATTGCGAGCGCGAGCACGACTAGAGGGATCGAGGTCTTTACGAAGGCCCCCGGAACAAGCTTGAAACACGTCCTGCAGACAAGGTTCACGCAACATAATGCGTGAAACTACCCTCAAAAACAGAAGCATGCGTTGCACATGCGTTCACGGTGGTTACCTGTGTAAACACGTGTGTTGCACGCCTGTTTCCGTGTGTGGTTTTGGCCCGCTACGACCCAAAACCCGCAAAACGCAATAATTACGCAAAGCCTGCGTTGGAAACCACGCTGCGTGCATGCTCATATACTACACAACAGAATAAACAAGTCAAATCCCGCAGCACAGTTTCATGAAACAGCCTCCACAAAGCACATTTCACGCAACAGCCCCCCACGCAGCCCGTTTCACGCAACAGCCCCCGCAGCACACATTTCACGCAACAGCCACCACAGCACACAACAGCCCCCCACGCAGCCCGTTTCACGCAACAGCCCCCGCAGCACACATTTCACGCGTATATACCACCATGCAGAGCACGCAACAGCCCCCACAGCACGTTTCACGCAACAGCCCAATCCCGCAGCAAAAGGGGGGTTGCGCGAATGGCCCAAACCATGTGCATCGTGAGCATCATCGTGAGCATCAGCCGGGATTCTTGCCAACAGCCCGGGCTGTTGAGGATCGAGCACCCATGCATCAACCCCAGGCCACCTCCCAACCCCGGTTCGTCGCAGAAGGAACTGCGAGGAACGGTTGTTCCCAGCCCAGATGACCCTAGCTAAACCCAACCAAAAGCCTATCCTATCCAAGGTCCCCACACACATGTGTACATTGCATGCAGGCACACATACGTCGGATCAGCACAGACTCTCGAAAGCTGGCATGCATGCACATCCGCATTGGCTGCTGTCTTGCGTGACCTGGCAGGACGTTTTCATCCACGCGGCTCGTGCCTGCTGTGCATGCAGCAGCTAGCGAGCAAATTATCAATTTCTGTTGCACAAGTCGGGATAGATCATCCAAGTGACCGGCTAGATCTGAAAGACACCCTTGGGGAAGCAAGGTTTCCAAGGCTCCGGGATCACTAAGCCTTTAGCACCGTACGCGTACTTGAGCTCAGGTAAGCCAGCATCCGCCCAGTCGTCCGGGCCCATGTCCAGGAGACACAATTCTGCTATCACAGACTCTGTACAAAACATGGATGTAGGCCTTAGTGGGGGCGACCGGTTGAACTTTGGCAGCTCGTGGACCATTTTCATCCCAAAGTCCCGAGTGTAGGTCCTGAATCAGTGAATCAACACAAGCACGATCGGGGGTGGACACATTGCAAACATATTGTGATGCTGTAGGACAACTCAGGACGGGTCTGGGTACTCTTTAGTGCATGAGCACCATGAAACCTACGACGGCCATCTTTGTCTATAGTTCTCCGTACTGTATGCACATGACCACGCTCGGCACGGGAGCGACTTTTGAACTCGTCCGTGAGAACACCCTGGTCAAAACACTGTATCCTTGGATTGCTGCTCCAGACACTGCTCCTCTTTGGACACTCGGCACCATAGTGCATCATCCAGAAGTGGCAGTAGTACACCTGGCAATAGAGGGAGCGCATGCACCAGGGTTCCCATGTGTACGGAATTCACGCATGCATGCTCCCACCTTGTGTGTGGTGCACATCCATTGAAATCTGGGGTGTCTCCAAGCTAAGCTCGTCCGGGGCTGTTCCAGAACCCATGAACCTCCCATCGCCACGCAGAGGAGGCTGATGAGGACGGTTCTGCGCAGAGGCGCGGGGACTAATCTACGTAGCGAGGCTGCGTGCTGCCGTTAAGTATTGTGTGCCCATGCAAAGCGCAGTCCTTGAAAGCATAGTGTTGCCAAGCTCAACACAGGGGAGAGTTTGCAGGCCGAGAGGATTCAGCCAGGTCCGGTACGTAGTACCTTTACATATAGAAACCCATGAACTGCAAAGCATTCCCTGCCACAGAGTAAAGCCATCGTCGGCGCCGTTGAGCACGGAGACCAAGTGAAGCCTGGGAGGTGAAGTGTGGCCGGGGTATGTTGGATCAACATGAGCTATATGTGCTATAGGAACCCTATAGTTGCAACATAGGATATTTCCTTAAGGCCCCGTCGCAAAGCCCGCAGCGGTTGTCACATCCATAGATCGGTGATATTTGGAATCAAGCTTGAGCGTGTCAGTGCTGTAAGAATCTCTCACAGCTCGACTCATCTCAGCTTGCCCGGCATAGTGCTCCACGAACGGAATGGTCTGTGTGCAAGATTACATGATTTCACGCTACCCCACAGGCATGGCTGGAGCTGAAAGTGCAAACCTTCGCGAGGCCTGCCGCATGTTGATGTTCTCGTTGAAGATCAAGCACAGGATAGCCAGAATGAAGGCCTGCGTATACAATACATGTTTCTACTGCAACGTCGGTTTGACTACAGAAGTCCTGCGACTGCTTGTGCACCAAAACAAGAATACTATGCGCCCTAGTAAGCCCCTAGCTCGCTTAGTTACGAAACCCACATATCGACCCCTTTTTCGTATAGCACCTTGGGAGCCTTCAACTTCATCAGGCGGTGAACCACGAAGTCCGGCCCCATGGCCGAAACAAATGCTGCAACAAAGTGCTACCGAACCAATGCTATTCACAGAATTGCGGCGAGGTTTCAGCAGCAGGCTGCATGAGATGCAATTGAAGCATGCAATGCAACCCAGCGCGTGCATAGGCAGTTAATCCTGGGGTCCTGGGGTAGCACCTGGCTCTGCGTCGGAGGCGTCTTCATCGTGAGGAAGAATGCCATAGCAGGCCAAAGATGCCATGACCTGCGCCAGGTCGGGCTGCACATTTCGCGACTGTGGAAAAATGAAGTCGAGGGCTTCAGCACACACTGCATGACAACTGATTGCACTCATGTGTTCTGCAAGAGCGCTGGCGCATCCGGACTTTGGAACAGAAGCCGCCTAACGAGTCGATCGGTGCTAATTTTACTGTGTGAATACTGTTGCCAGTTTAGCATACTTATGATCGGGTTCTCTCTAGCATGATTGCTACCGTCTATGACAATCAGGCGACTTTGTGAGTAGAGGTGCGTCCCCCGCAACCCCCAACAATCCTACTGATCGTGACACAAAATCCCAGAGCACCGTTCCGGTACCCTGCCCTGGCACATGCCTCTGATCTATAGAGGTACGTGTTCCGAAAACTCCGCAGCTGTTCTCATGAGAAAAGCCACTTCTCAACTTGTTTGCGCGTGAAGCGCTTGGGGCCAGCAAAGAAATACTCTCCATCCGCCGACCACGGCTTACCTCAGCGAGACCATATGCAAACATGCACGCATGCTACGTACTATTCAACAGTCGCCGGATCGATCCGATTCACAGACTAGCGGCTCCCAACATCGTCACGCAAGAACTCCCATGTGAAATCGATAGCCGTGCGTGGCCAATCCTCGGCAGTGACCGCCATGGCACGCTGCTTCAGCTTGTTCTGAATGTACATCCAAAACACGTCCTGGCAGGAGAAATGCGTCAGGATTCGATCACCGAGATGGATCAAAGTGCACCCAAACACTGCATCACAACTCGTCCTCAGTCTTGCTGTGGTTGCAGACGAAGGGCCTCACTCGCTCAGTGTAGGCATCCTTGATCGCATCCCACCGGGCAGCATTCAGGGCCCGGGTTGGCCGATACCGTCTGGCAAAAGTCGGAGCCTTCTCTTGGTCCGGCCGGTCCGGCTCACCCTCTGCCTCCTCGAGATCCGGCTCACCGTCCGGGTCCTTATCGGCATCGTCCATAGCCCCATGTGGCTCAGCCGACACAGGCTCAAGCTTCGAAGTAGACG